TCCTGCTGAGAACAAAGTGCTGCGTAGCTGAAGTTGTTTTTCAGCTGCTGCAAAGAAGTGTTAAACAGCAACCCTCTATGAGATGATATCCAAAGTAGTAGGGTAGTTCTACACCACACACCTTTACATTTAAAGTTTGAAGACTGAGAACAGAGGAAGAATATTGGATGAGTGTGGAAGAGAGCTTCCCTCTGCTAGCAGAGCAATCTCCAGGTTTCTCCCTACAGTCTGTGTTTTTCACTATTGTCAGAAGGTAGTATGAGGACTCTTGGGAAGGATGGCTGTGCACATTTGCACTGTGCTAATGCCTAGAGATCAGTCAGTCTGGATTTCTGTCATGCAGAGGCTGTCTTTGCACATGCATTGTGGTTGACTATCTCCACTCATGGGAGCCTGCAAGGTGAAATGCAACAGTGAATATACAAAGCAGAGGGTCTGGGTGGCAGGAAGAGTAATAAAAACAACAGGACCTGCTCTGTTCCTGGTCAGATGGAAGCAGCAATGCAGGTAACTGACAGTTTAGGTGTTAGGTTTTGTGCAGCACCCAGTGCAGAACTATGTCATACCTTTCCATCAGAGAATGAGCTGTTACTCTCTTTTGAGGAGCAGCAGCAATGGCGTTTGTCAGGAATAGTCTGAGGCACTGCATGGTAACGCTGGATTGTGTGCTCGCTTTGTTTTCCTTGTCTCTCACATTGGGTGTTCTCCCTTTCCTACAGGTCAGCTTTTCTGGCAGCTCATATCCCTCTCTTCCTGTACCCCTTCTTGCACACAGTTAGCAAGACACGTCCGTTTGAGTACCTGCGGCTCACGAGCCTTGGAGTGATTGGTAAGCAGCCAGCCTAATGCTGGACCACTGGTTTCTTATCAAGTTGGGTGCAGTTCATACAGTGGGTATAGAGACCTGCATGACCAAAATCACAGGTTTCTTTTTATTCGTATCTTCTGAGTCCTGTAGTATTAACTCCTTTTCCATCAGTTGTGGAGGCAGGTTCCTCTTAGTGTGTAGAAACTGGACTTTTTCCCTAACAAGAAAACACTGAAGTCTGGGTGCATTGCCAGAAATAGGTTTCGTCTGAGTACAAGCATCTGCAGGCTTGTTGTGCACTCTTTGTGTTTTTGTCATTGATTGACTCGGGTGTATTTGCCCTGTCTTCCCCTTAGCCTGTTGGGTTTTTTTTTTTCTTCTTTCTGCCCAAGACATTTCTCCCTCGATGCCTAAAGTTAGAGGGTCTTAAAATGCATTTCTTCTTCCCAGAGGTTGCTGTGGGTGGCATCATCCTCTTGTGTTTGTGTTACCACTAGAGGAGAGCCAAGAATGCATCCCCTTTCCGAAAAACAAACAACCCCCAAATCCAGCTTGATTACTTTTTATGCTGCCAAAACGATTTCTTCTCCAGCTATGTGCTGCAACATATTTAGGATGGTAGTTGCTCTGCCTGCCATTCAGACTTAATGGTTCCTGGGGAGGACAGAGCACAGGCCCTCTTTGAAAGGTGAAATTTTTGGAAACAACTTACCATTTATTGATTGTGGTTTTTGTTTTTCCTTCAAGGGGCCTTGGTGAAAACTGATGAGCAAGAAGTAATAAATTTCTTATTGACAACAGAAATTATCCCGCTATGCTTACGCATTATGGAGTCTGGCAGTGAACTCTCCAAAACGGTACTTACTCTTTTTGTCTTAATTGAGACTTGGTGTTGTTTATCTCTGACTGCAGTAACCTGCAGAGTTGTCTTCTGTCCTGTTGCAAATGCTGGGGCAACGCTGGGTGGAGTTTTTACCTTCCCAAAAAACAAACTAAAATCAGCAAACTAAGTTGGAGTTCCTGAGCTTGGTAGTTTTTCTGGGAAAGATCTTGCTGCTCTCCACACCCGTTCCCTCCTTTGCAGCCCTGCAGAGTAACTTTTAGGGCTGAGCTGGATCAACTTTCCTTGGCCTGAGAGAACAAATGCTGTAGCTACACAGTGCAGAGGTTGTGTGGCAGCTGTCAGTGGTGGTTATGGGAATGTTCACTGCACTGCGCCAGTGTGTTGTCTCTGATTAGATCAAGGGCCCCTTTCCCCTGCCATGAGCTCAGATCTGTGGTCAGACTGGTCTGATGACCCAGGTAGGCTGCCACAGATTTTAGTCTGTGTGTGCTTCTCTGCTGACGCAACTGGCTGAGGTTCTCCCAAAGTCACATGTCTCATGATGAATTGGTAACACTGGACATGAAAACTGAAATCAGCTTGCTGTCTAGATGGCAAGACCAAGCGACAGATTCTCATCCTGCCTCTTGCTCTGTGACCAGAGTAGCGTGGCTGTAATCCTGAGGCTGTCCTGAGCAGCCCGGCAGTAGTTGCTGTCTTATGCAGCCTGCATCCAGTCATCTTGTACACACTGCTTTTTGTCCATCTCCTTTCTTTAGCCAGATATGCCAAGCATGGTGTAGTGTCCTGCATTTTCTTTTGGCTTTAAACTTTCACTGAGTAAAGCATTTGCTACCTGCTGAAAGGCCTTTCAGCTCTGGGACTGCCATGAAAAGAACACAGCACAAAGGCTGTCCCTTTTCAGGACAGGTAAGTTGTTTATACACTTTATTTTCTGCTTTCTCTCCATTCTAGGTTGCTACGTTTATTCTTCAGAAAATTCTCCTGGATGACACAGGGCTGGCATATATCTGTCAGACTTACGAGCGGTTTTCCCATGTTGCCATGATACTGGTAAGATTATTTATTTCCTCCCTTTAAAAAAGGAAAAAATGCTGCTCTAGCAGCCAACTTCTTCGGCAGCTACTTTACTGCTCTTTGGTTGGAGCACAGAATGAGGGAGGCAAATCGTTCTTGGGCTTATTGCTTATGACACTGTAGCTCGCTGCTTCCGTATGTTTCCTTTTTATATCTCTGGTTTGTGTGTGTTGTGGTTAACCCCAGCCAGCAACTAAGCACCGTGCAGCCTCTTGCTTGTTCCCCTCGGTGGGATGGGGGAGACAATTGGAAGAGTAAAAGTGAGAAAACTCGTGGGTTGAGATAAAGACAGTTTAATAGGTAAAGCAAAAGCCATGAACGCAAGCAAAGCAAAACAAAGAATTCATTCACCACTTCCCATTGGCAGGCAGATGTTCAGCCATCTCCAGGAAACCAGGGCTCCATCACGCATCACGGTTACTTGGGAAGACCAAATGCCATCACTCTGACATCCCCCCTTTCTTCTTCCCCCAGCTTTATATGCTGAGCATGACACAATATGCTATGGGATCCTTTGGTCAGTTGGGGTCAGCTGTCCCAGCTGTGTCCTCTCCCAGCTTCTTGTGCACCACCAGCCTGCTCGCTGGTGGGGTGGGATGAGAAGCAGAAATGGCCTTGACTCTGTAAGCCCTGTTCAGCAGTAACTAAAACACTCCTGTGTTACCAATTGTGTTTTCAGCACAAATCCAAAACAGAGCTCCATACCAACTACTGTGACGAAATTAAATCTATCCCAGCCAAAACCCGCACAGTGTGTCAAGAGAACACATATTAGTTGTAATATACTAAGTTCCCAAGATAAACCAGGTAAACTTCTCCAGAGAAGAAAAAGAGTTTTCAGGGTTGTTGGTTGCATGTGAATTGATTTACTTTTATGTAAGAATGATCACATGGCTTAGACCATGGATCCATTTCCCATCGCTGTCTCCCACAGCAGGTCAAAAGAGCAGCAGGCTGTGCGAAGGAGTAAGTACAGGGCAAGCATATGTGATAGTTGCCCTTGTAATGGTCTGGCAGCTGCCATCTATTTTCAGCTTTGGACTTCTGGGCCCAGTTGTGGATTTTCTATGCAGTAACCCCCAGTGTTTGTCCTGTCTTCCCCTTGAACTCATAGAAACGTTTTGCATCCACAGTGTCCTTTAACAAGAAGTTTCACAGGTTTCCTGTTTGCTGCCTGGAAGGCCAACCTCCTTGTTTTCCTGTTTGAACCTGGCTCCTACTAGCTGCTGCTTATGACTCTTAATTCTTGTGTTAGAACACAAGAGAGAGCAGACAATTTTTTGTCCATTCCATGTGAAGGAGAAGTTCATTCATCCCAGGAGTAATAGCCCCGACTTGAGCTTTATTATCTTTGAGCTCGCTGAGCGGAATACATATCTGTCCTGGAATAGCTATTGTCCTGCTTTTGTGTTTGGCTGGTTGGTTGCTTTCTAAAAAGCAGACTCATGAGAAGAAAATGCAAAATTAAGTTAAGCACTTTGCAGTGCTGGTTCTGTGCCTGAATGTTGATGCTTTCATTGGGAATATTTATTTGTCTGTTTTCCCAAATGTAAAGAAAATGTTACTTCCTAATTCACCCACAAACAGCAAAATGTGAACGATTGTGAGCTGCTGCCCATAATACCCAATGTGACTTGATTTTTGTGCTCAAGAAAAGGATAAGCTTTGATGAAAGTACATCTGGCTTAAGGGCAAAGTGAAGGACGCAATTAGAAACCCTGGAGTAGGGGAGGGAGGGAGACCAAGGAAGAATCCGTGGCTGGGGTGGGTATGAACATGGAAGGATGTGGGTGTGTAAAGCTGTGTTAGCGTGGAAGAAATCCTAGCTGTGGTATAATCCCACCACTGGGTGAAGCACTGACATGTTAGTATTCCATAGTGCTACGGAGAAAGATTAAAATGTTCATAGACATTTCTCTGTTTCAAAAATCAAGATAGTGTACTCCTGTCTCATGAGGGTGATGATTTACTTCCTTGTCTGCTGATAACTGAGTAAGATGTTATGCAAGTATTAGATGCTTTTAGAAGAGCAAGTTTGTATTTGCCATCCAGCAGCTGTCTGAGGAGCTCTTTGATTTGTTCTTTATCTCAAAGAAATATTGGTATCCTGGGGAATTGCTGAGAACAGGAAGCTTGCAGAAGGGCAGATGAGGGGGACCTACTAATTGCTAACTGCCTGAATATCCAAATACTGGTGAATTTGGCTAATGAGGAAAACGGTTAGTGCTAGCCAATGTAGTTTTACTGGAAAAAAGAAAAACAACTTCTTGGGCAGATCTGATTGACTCCTAAATATGAGGAAGCAGACTGTTAAACTCCTTCAAAGCAGGCGTGTGAAGGCAGCCACACTTTGCTAGGCTGGTTGCACTCAAAGATGCAAGCATGTGCAAAATTTTACGTAGTGTGAGAAATGGAGGTTGGGCCAGGGAGATCTGCCCTGGTCCTGCTTCCCGGTAATGGCTTAATGAGGGATGTAGCAGAAAGAGAAAATACAACACTTGGGTGCGTGATGAGGCCAGGTGTGGACCTTACTATACGTGGTGTGGGCGAGCCCAGTCCTTTGGCATGGCTTCCCAGGCTATTGTTAACGTTTTAAAGGGGCGTTGAAATGAAGGCAGCACAGATGAGAACTGGGAGTGTTGCAGAGCTTGGGGACACACCTCACAGAGTGACTCAGCCCGAGTTTATCAAAGTGTTTGGGATACGTTCGGCTTCTTCCACAAGGGGGAAGCCCCAGATTCTCTTTAGTAGAGAGTTGGACCACTAAGCAGTCCTGGGGAGGTAGAAGCCAACCAGAGATGAGACAAGCTTTCCCTGAGCAGCTGGGAGAATCCTTTCCAAGCTGTGGCTAGCTGCTCTTCTCAAAGGCATCTTGGCAAGCAGAGCGCTGGGCTCCATGCAGGGCTACCTAGATGAAAAGTAATGGGCTGTGATGCGTGGGAAGCTGGAGTGAGTGATTTAATGGTCTTTCGCAGTCTCTGCTGATTGTGAAACTGTTCTTACAAAGACTTTAACTGGTGGCACTGGCCTCTGTCAAACAGGGTAAAATGGTCCTGCAGCTCTCCAAGGAGCCATCGGCACGGCTGCTGAAACACGTCGTCCGCTGCTACCTTCGCCTTTCCGATAACCCCAGGTAAACATTTTAGGAGTTTGGGCAGGGGCTTCTCCCGTTCCCTTGGAAGTGCAATTCTTCTCCACAGCGCCCACTCGGGGAGAGTCAAGGTTCCTTGTCTGTCCTTACATCAGCCTTAGCTCAGTGTGGAAAATGGGTGGGCTTTTTGGTTGGTTTGTTGTTTTATTGCTAGTCCCAGGAGCTTTTTATGGTACATGGTTGAAACAGTGATTGTTTGGGGCTTGTGCAGATTCAAGCTGTGCAGGTTACGACTGCCTGAGCTCAAATGTAGCTTGCACTAGGTATGAGGGAGGGACTGAAGTGGAAGGTATGCTATGCTTTCCCTCTTCTGCATCATGTGGGCTGTTAGCAGTAGAAGCCAATAGATGAAATTCAGTTGAGGGAATACAGACTGATTTCGTGCTGATCAGCAGCTCTGCCCAAAGCCACTGGGTATTTGTTGTCTCGGCCTCTCCTGGCATCACATTGCCCTTGACTGATGGGTGTCAGGACACAGGGGTTGGCTCGGTGGGGTCTGGTGTGAGAGATGGGAGCCGTGCTGGCTGGCTGAGCACCATGTGGCTGGCCCCACTGGGGAGACCCCCAGG